GACGCATACTACGATTATCAATACTTCCAAAGTAACCTCTTCATAGATGAAACCGAAGAGCGGATACACAGGATATCATCTGATAACGAACACAGTAATTACATCAATACACTGGRATACATCTCCAGAGTGGCACAACGTGACCAACAAATCAACGATATTGTGCTCACACAATACAGCCTCAAAGCAGGTTTAAAGAAGTTCGGCGAGGATGGGCGGCAGGCCACCATCAAAGAACTAAAACAAATGTTAACACGGAATGTCTTCAGTGAACTAACATATGAAGACCTAACAGAAGAGGACCGGAAACTTGCCCTTCCAATACTCTTATTCCTTACACTGAAACGAGACGGACACACAGTAAAAGGAAGAGCATGTGCAGACGGACGTAACCAGAAACTATGGACCCCGAAACATGAATCTGCATCGCCAACAATAGCCATTGAGGCGCTATTCTTCACACTCATTGTAGATGCATTTGAGGATCGTGATATAGCAACATGTGATTTACCAGGACACTTCCTACAAACTGACATGGAAGAGGAACTTATCCTTCRACTAGATGGGCMGCTAGCTTTATTATTGGCTAAGATTGATAAACGAAGATGGAAACAACATCTTCGAACGGAAAAGGGACGACCAGTCATCTACGTACGGTGCGACAAAGCCATATACGGGACAGTCACAGCAGCACTGCTATCATATAAGAAACTAATTGGCCACCTCACTGACTGGGGATTTGCCATGAACCCATATGAGCCTTGCTGCTGGAACAAAACAATTAATAATGAGCAAATGACAGTGGTGTTTCATGTGGATGACCTTAAGATTAGTCACAAAGACCCAAATGAGGTATCCGCTGTAATTAAACTACTTGAATCAATCTATGCACAACAGGATCCCATGACCATAAGCAGAGGGAAGATACACCAATACCTGGGGATGACATTGAACTTCGAACGAAAGGGAGAAGTGCGAATCACCATGTATGACTATATACAACGGATGATAAATGAGCTGCCAGAAGATATGATAGGATACAAAGCAACAGCTGCACCAGCACACTTATTCAACACAGACCAAACRGATGCACGGAAATTGAATCAAGCGGATGCTGATACATTCCACTCCATTACAGCACAGACCCTATGGATGAGTCGACGTGGGAGGCCAGACCTACAGCTGGCAACAGCATTCCTGTGCACACGAGTAAAAGAACCAGATGAGCATGATTATAAGAAGCTCAAACACCAAATGATGTACCTGCAGAAAACAGCATACCTCCCACTAATACTAAGAGCAGATGGGAAAGGGACCTCCTTATATATCGATGGTGCTCACGCAGTCCATGCCGACATGAAAGGACATGGAGGAATGTATGCTACAATGGGGAAAGGTGCTCTATATGCATCATCAACCAAAAGCAAAATCAACACATTGAGCTCAACTGAAACCGAACTGGTCTCAGTGGGGGAGAAGTTACCGAAGCATCTATGGTTGAGACAGTTTGCAGTAGAGCAGACAAATGACCCAACACAAATACACGTGTTATACCAAGATAATAAAAGCACAATGCTACTAGAAAACAATGGTCGACTATCATGCCGTAAGGGATCGAAGCACATACACATTCGATACTTCTTTATTACTGACAGGATTAAGAATAARGAGGTAGAAGTAAGATACTGTCCCACGGAGAACATGATAGCGGACTTCTTCACAAAGCCCTTACAAGGGAAACCATTCGAACGATTCAGGGACATGATACTCGGTATCAAACATACAGACTTCAAAGAGTATTACRCGGAATACATCAGAACAATCAATGAGTTCGGTCTTGGGGACAACAAGGACAGATTGCCACCAATCCCGCAGGAGTGTGTTGAGAACCGTACATTGACACTTAGGGATGAGGTTTACCGTATACCAAATACTAACAGGTACAGAACCGCGAACAGGAGACAATAACAGCCTCTGTACATGAGTACGGACTCATACTCTTTAATTTATCTATTAGTGAACTATCTTATCATWTCATCTAATCTCTGGTTAAAGTGACTGATGATCATTGCCGGGCAATGGTTATGTAATGGTCGATTAACCGGAGGATCAACACCTTCGACGTACCGTACAGTATCACCAGCAACATCATCCCGGACGGTACGTACTGTACCCTTCAATTCTGGATCACAACTTCTCTCCTTTCGAGTTCGTAGAGAGCTCATGTCCTCCTACTCTTGCTACGCGCACAACCGCTTCTACTCCCACGCGTACGTTCCCCGCAATGTGCTGATGAGGCAATCACAATCAGCCACAATCAAGTCTCTCCCTCACGAAAAACGCAGCACAACAGTCCGAGGGCATCCTTCAAAAGGCGGTGCCCTTCCGAACGAAATGGCTCGACGGACAACGAAGCAATGCGATCGTGGTTGACGGGAACAGCTGTAGCCAAGGAACTNACATACAATCCCTGCCGTCGCACGGTGCCATTCGAACCGTTGAAGAACGTTCCGGTCATTTGCAACGGTGTCAAAACAACAAGTGACTTCGTCAAGCACATAAATGACGTAGTCGCACGGAACGCCTTATTGCACCCCGCAACATGCGATGGCTGTACGTACTTGTACCGTTCGGGCAACGATCGTACCGCAATTCGAGGGAATCGTGCAAAGAATCTGTSTAACTGCTTGTACTACTCGTACGAACCGTAGTTGTTCGTGTGATTCCCTGCTTCGACACCAGCCGCACGATTGATCCGTCACAAAAAACGAASGAACAATATGCTAAAAAGTGTACGTGGAACGGAAGGCTACGGGTACTCTTACACACCGCCGAAGGAGCGCTGAAAAAAGACTCACGAAGGTTTGAATCCCTCCGGACGACCCGGCTTCCTCGCCACGTGCCGGAACAACGACCTTCGCACGTGTCCGTTTTCCTACGAGAACCTTTTTACCAGAGCACACCAACTGCAGTAAACAGTAACCCAAACAAAACACTAMAGTACGTTACAGTACTACTAATTCGTACGATTGACGGTGTTGCATCTCATTCGTTTGCCAGCCCAAAGAAACACAACTTGGGTACGAATACGCAATCGTACGGTACAAATGTACGGTACCGTACACATTGAACCGGGTACGAGTAGGCCAGAGTGGCGTACCAGTACAAACTGCTCCGTTTCGCCAAACGAGACGATTCGTCGTGTGATTTGTACTTGTACTGTACGGTATTGCTTTTGTACCGCATCGGACGCCAGTGGACGATGACTCTCCRCTTCACACAAACTCCACGGACTATGAAGCAAACCACAAACGATCCAGGTCGAAGGAAGAAAGAAGAAAGCATATAATATAAGCAGTACGGCATAGCATAGATACGATCAGATCCATAGATCGGCACCAAACACACCGCCGGGAGTAGAAAAGAAGCAAGAAATGCCATAGAGCAACGACAACAGCAGCAACAACAAGATGAACAACAGCAACAACAACAAGATGAACGACAACGAGACGAACGACAACGACACTGTGAGCACCAGCACCAGCAACGACAACGACAACGACAACGA